TTCAGGACTATGAACTCAGCGATGGCGTGAGCAATTAAAATAATAATAATAATCAAACCGACCATTGTTTGCCTCATTTTTCAAATAAAACTTGCTTCTTGCGTATACCATAGTATGGTTCTTTTGATTGGCTGAATGACTTCACGTAACTGGTCAGCCAATCGTCGTAATTCGCCTATGACCTGTGCTTTAATGCCTACGGCCCAAGTATAAGCCTTCTGGGAAAGCAATGCAAATAGTTTACTTGGAAATGCTAAGTTGTATGAAATGCAATTGCGTTGGTATATATCTGCCCGGAATGTTTACTATAGTAGTCTGGGTATAATGTTACCTTGGAGCACTGGCAGCTTTAATGCAAAACCGTAAATGTACAGTAGTGGGAAGACTGCAGCGTGACTTAGACGAAAATTTGAATAGGTAAGTGGCCCATCAAAGAGACACCTCAAGAAGTATGCAGGTGACTTAGGAAGTGGTTCAATTATTTTCAAATTCCCTTTTGCTAAATGGCGAAGTTGAATTAGCCAAGCCACGAAATGCCACTTTGCCAAAACCGAGAATTTAAAAAACAGCCGATGCCTCTATAAGTAAATGTTCAAAAAATGCCAGAAAATGAAGGTAGTAATAACAGAACTTATAACATTTGAGTCGCAATAGCAGTGAACTTCCAGACTGCCCTTCAGCACGCCTATCAGTGTGCGAGCTGTACAATCTACGCAGCGGAGAGGCGGGATGCAGTTAAATGGGGTAAGCCGATGTAGCCTAGTAGGCACCAGACTTCTCTGCTTCGTTTTGCTTCATTGTTCACTTAGGTGTGAAGGTTGCTCAATGCGATGTGAAGTGGCGGAAAGTATTGTGAGGAGAGCACCGCCTTCCTTATTCCTCACCTTATATTTGTGTGTGTCTTAAAAACATTAGAGTAAAGGGGTATATTGTGAATGATGCGGTATGCAGGACCAGTCTTTTCGTTACAATCGCGACGTGATTGCATTTGTTTTCCTTGAGTACTTGTCTGCACCGACTATGGGGATAATACTTTGGAATACTTTCTTGATGAATGCTACTTTTGTTCAAATTACTACCTCAATATTTCGAACAAAACATTTTATCGTACTAATAAAGTTACGTTCAGGGAAAAAAAGTGCTTTTTAGAAAAAGTTGGTTTTCAACATTTCGCGCCTTAGAATATGCACAATTGTTTGGACCTAGCAGTTTGTCTTAACTAATTTTTTTTTCAAAAAACTAGCATGCATCAAGCAGAACAATTGCCTGAGAGACCCGTTAACTTTGATTGCTAATGACAATGAATTTTAGGGAAAACTAAAAAATCTTGTGCCTTGTATTATATAAACCAGTTCCACTCGCATATCAAGTTATCAATCCTGATCACTGAAGAAAATCACGCTCCGTTTATTCCATTTTGATTGGTCAAGGCAGATTGAATTTAATCTGACGATCCCAGAGGTACTATGGATTCTCTAGGGGAAAAAAAATTCAGGTTCTCCCGTAAAAAGTCTCCCATCACTTTGAATGCATAATATCTTCACTCAAAGCCTTTTTGCGACACGCTGGTGTGAGGCCACTTATACTAGCTGTCGAACGAAAAAATTGGGACATTTTATTGTTCACAATCTGGTCGAAACTGTGCAGCTCAAAACGCTATGAATTACTCAAAAAGGTGATACTAAAAATTTGTTAAATTTTAGATTTTTCATTATTATTGACTTGTGCATGTGCCCACTTCGCTTAAGTCCACATTTGCTGTAATTAGTGCATCACCTCTACTTCTGCTTATTTGTACATTGTTACCATCTTTTAGTCAGCCTTCTTAAAAGGTCATTTGAAGAATGCCGAAATGAGGAATAATATCCGTTCCTGTGTATATGTGGATGCACATTCGTTTAATGTCTTATAGAAAGCTAGCCTCTTCAACAGGTAGGATCTCATATCTATCAGTGGAGCTACCTATAAATGTTAGTCAAACCCAAGTCTACTGATCTAATAAGAACGCAGGAATTC